AAATCACAAAATCAAGTAAAAACAAACTTTTAATGATATGCTTCGAAAATCAAATTGTTATTGAAGGTTCGTGTCCTTTGTAGTTAAATACAGTGGTACTCCGACATTCATTCCGAAAACACGATCGTATGTGAAATCGATCGTAGTTCAAATCAATTTTTTGTATATAAATATATCGAAATGCCAGTAATTCGTTCCAGTAATGTGGTTTTTGTTAAGTTTTCTGAATATTAAAAATAAATTTACTGTTTTAATCAACTTAAAAAACTTCCCGTAGAGTAAGTTATTGTGATTGTCCAAAAATCAAAATTGAAATTTTTTTGAAAAGAAAAAATTGGATGGATACAATTTTTCTTCCACGTTTTCAGACGCAAGTATCAACCGATTTGAACGGTTAAAAAAACATTCAATTCCTATTGATAAGGAGATGTGCTGATTAGTTTTTGACAAAGGCAGGTCCAACCGATACAAATACGGAGCAAAGAGTGCCGAAAATAGGAATCGAATTTTGAGAGAACGAAGTATCCGTTTTGAATGATCCAAGAAACGCTCATTTGCAATGATAGGGAGAAGTGGTAATAAGTTTTTGGCAAAGGCAGGTCCAGCCGTTTCGGAGACATGGAGCTAAATGTGCCAAAAATGGGAGTTTTTGAGAGAAATAAGCATCCGATTTAAATGATTCAAAAATCTTTCAGCTTGTGTTGACGAAACAATTGCTTTTGGGGAAAAAAAATTGATTTATAATTAAAAAAAAAAATCAAATTTTTTTTTTTGTATATCGAAAATAATTCCAATTCTGGCTAAAGTTCTAAGGCTCACTTATATACTCAATATGAATAATTTTAACTTTACAATTCAGTTTATGTTATTCTTATAAATAATAGACAATGTTACAGGATTCATAATGATCGATGTATTTGAAAATATTAAATATTCTTCAAACAATTCGTTACGGTGCGGGAAGTTCCAGCAATTTGCATTAACGCACGATGCGATACACCACTAGTTTGTGTTTTAATTTGTTCAAATAATCCTCGAAATATTCGCATGGGTAAATAATTACTACAAAATTAACATTAATATATAATTGAAATAACTAACTATAAAATAATTTATTATCATAAAAAAGCAAAAACATTTTTTATCCTAGGAAAATCATTATTACAGCTGACAGAGTTTTTCATATTTTTATTTTGCCATAAACATTTTTCTAGAAAACTCTTACTCGCTCAAAGCTCGTATCTCGAATTTTGCTTTTATGTTAAAGAAAAAAAAACTCATATGGGTTCGCTCATAAGTCAGGGTACCACTGTATAGACAAACTTTTAATAAAATGCTTTAAAAATCGAATTGATGTTGAAGGTCCTTTGTATTTAAGTATGTCAAAAAATTATAGGATGTAAAAATGGTCAAAAATGGTCAAAAATAATGCTCAATCAGTTTTGATATCACGTGTTACCTTTATCCATGATTGGTATTATCCACATATATTTACCATCTCCCTCTTTATGCCTATCTTCCTTGTCTCTATGCTTACGTCGAGTCTCTCCACCTATTATACTAGGAAAATCTTGCTCCTTATAAACAAAATCAGGTTGTTTTGGAATTTTTTCACTATTTTTATTCTTCTCATTTTCAAAATTTCGTTTTCGTGTCTCTAGTATTTCAAAGTGCATTTGATGCAATATGAATCTATTCCAACTCTAAAAATAGTTTGATATAAGAAATGCAAAACATTTACTTCATTAATAATTATTTTACCTGTATCAACCCAATTAGATTTACTTTTGCTCTTGCATCTGGTGTCTATCAGACAAAATTAAACCCAATGCTGAAGCTTCTGGAACAGTTCTAAATGCTCTTAGAAAATTACTAGCTTGGCAGGGAATTCCTATAATAATAATTACACAAAATTAATGTACAACATTTTTATTAAAATATTAAAACTAAAAAATGTACCTGCAGACTTATCCAGCATGTAAAATAAAAATCCTAATTCACAAGATAAACAAAATTCCCTTTGACATGTATGAGACATTAAAGCATGTCTTACTGGTTGCATAAAATATAATACCTGTAAATGCACTGAAAATATATTTACATTCTTTTTCAAAACATTATATCATTTAGACAAAACGTCCAAAAGCATTGATATTTATAACACCCTTTGTTAATCACTTTAGTGATTTATGCACCGAGGATAACATGTATAATTGTTAATCATTATATTCTAAAAATGGGATTATCAAATTGATTCTTAAATTTAATATGGTTACTAAATAAAATTTTGACCTGTAGCATAGCATTGCAATACGAGTTAGGTAGTGTTGCTTCTAATCCAGAAAATCCAGTTCTATTGTACATATTGAAATCAAAATCACTGCACCCCAATTTATTATATTTGACTTCCACCTTCCTATAGCGTTTAGGAATAGTTTTTAGGCCTGGTATATCACTAAGAACTTTATCATTTGAATTCATGAAAGGTGAATTTTGCTGTCTTGTTGTGTTGAAATCTAAAATGTAGGGTACCTAAAACAATAATCTTATATTGAATAAAATACTTATGATAAGAGAGTTGATAAATAATTATTTTATTGGTGGCTTAGAAAGTCAAATATAGTCATATTATTGAATAGTCAAATATATTTGTTCCTCTAGTCAAACATAATAATTTATTAAACAATTTCAAGGGTGATAAATTATTTATGCCTATTAAATATAGACATAACTTTTTCATCAAATTAGTTTCTATACTAAACTAAACTATTAGTTTAACAGGAATTCATTGAAATATATCTCCAAATTAAATTATTACAAAAAATGTATCTACTTCATTTTTAGCATTATATATCAATCATATTGAATCTTATAAATATGGCTGAAATTCAATTGATATAATTCAAGTTAAATAAAAGTTTCTCACTTGATTCCTGCGAGTAGTATGTGGGTTTGGAGCATATCCAATAGGACCCTGCATCTTCATTGTTTGCAATATTTCAGAGTCTATAGGTTTAGGTCTCCTACATTAATTTAAGCCAGTTTTGAATTATAATATATACAAAAATACTTTGAACAATTTTTTCGAACAAATATTGCAATATAAATTATTTGTTCAATCTATAATTGGTTACATACTGACTAAAAATTAATCGCATTAAAATTTTCATGCAATAAGCTTGGAATAGGTAAATTCCTATTTAATCATGTCTAATAATAGCAAAAATAATCATCAAAGACTTAATTTAATAAGCATAATTAAAATAAAAATATAATCAAGAACAAATTTCTATACTTTAATCTAAGAAATTTTTATCGTAAATTCCTATAAGACTATATCAATGCAAATAAGGGAAAGAAATATGTTAAAGAATCATTCAATTTTGCATTATAAAGCAAATTTCTATTTCGATTTTATGAGTAGAGATATGGGCACTACAATATTAAACATTCTAAAAGAAATCAAATAAGAAAGCAAATTATGTGTGATAACAGTTTTGAAAAATTTTGCAGAACTGCATTAGAGTTTTCTCATAACACCTTTTATTATCGAGATTAGATCACTAAATATCACTAAACAAAGCATCATTAAAATTAACTCAAACTGGACATTAAATAAGTAATTAACAAGTTTAGCATAATTTTTTACCCATCAACAAATTGGGAAAAAATTTCTTTTACTCACCAATAATTGTATTTTAGTAACTGGTCCGGCCAGTCACTGAGCCAATGATTACCGGTTGTTAGTGCCGGTAAAGGTATTGACGAAAGTGGGAATGTGTTGTCTGTTAATGAAACAGTAGGAAGCGGCTCAATAGAATCTGCAAATTCAGTTTCCCTAAAAAAGTCAATTAAATTAAATTAATAATTAATTATTAATTTATTTTTGCAAAGTAATAATAACATAAGAATTACTAGAAAGAACATATTAATACCTGTTGTTTGCTAAAATTTGTATAAAACTCATTAATTTTGAGAAAAAACCCATACAAAATATAAACTAAGCTTAATACAAATACTAAAACAAACTATAGAACAATATTAATTATAAAAATTAGCTTTGAAGTATAAGTCAAAGATGACATGATTCAAACCATTATAGATTATTCCAAAACTTTAAAATTTGAATTTATCAACTCCATTTTCTTATAAACTATTAAAATAAAGTGTGTACACAGCAAATAACAGTAGTTTGGTGTCAGCTAATTTTTTATTACACATTTTTTAATGAACTAACTATATTATGTTATTATTGCTGACATTTAAAAATATGTTATTAAAATATATTGAAATTTAGTATACCTAGAAAAAGTATTAAAAATAGGTTCTTGATTAGATGCACCAGCCATCAATTGTATATGACCAGATTGATCTCCAAATACCATTGCTTGGCTTGTTGAAGAAATATCAAATGACAAACACATTGATGCATTTGTATTGACCTGAGAATAATTTCATGTTGAGAGTTTTCTTACAGCTTTAATAAAAGTTACGTTATAAGCATAAGGTAATTCATTCAAAAGTACGAACATAACAAAAGTGTGTTCATTGAAACGCTAACCATGTGATGACTACATTATATACATAAAAAAAATCATAATACTATAAAACATTATTTACCTGAAATAAACTAAGTTTAGGTTCCATCAGCTGCACTAAATCTACGAGTTGCACTTGGCCAATAGCTGAAACTACAGCTAATCTAGATGAAACTCTGGGAAGAAATCTGAGTAATAATGGATCACAAATCACTTGTATTGGTGAGACAGACCTCAACATTCGAACATCAAACACCATAAGAAATCTGTCTACCACTAAAGTATTTTGTCTACTACCGAATCCACATGTAACAATATAATTTCCTTGAACATCAAAATCTGATAAACTACCAGAATGTGATTCTAATGTATGTTCCACTTTTAGAGAATTGGGGTCACGTAATGTTAAACATCCAACCGGGTCACCAGCACACAACATTTGACTGTGGTTTCTCAATATTGCGCAACCATTGCACCCAGCATACTCCTAAAATATTCAAAATGATTAATATATCCTGTGGTAACTATGCTAAATAATATTGTGTTAATTTTATGAATATGAGGTCAAAGACCTATAAGTTGTCACTAAATAAAAGTGGGATTTTCTTACATAATTGGTTTCTAAACCTCTCATAAGATCAAAGTCAACCAGTTTATCTTGATGTCCTCCCATTACAATTCTAGTTGGTGACATTTGGAGTAAACATTGCATATCAACAAAATTTTCAGACCTAAAATAAATATTAAAAATATTAATTATGCAGTTTGAATATGAAAAAGTAATATTACTATGAAAACTAACAGTACTTACACATGTGTAAACTTAGGAAGACCCCTTCGTATATGGCATCTTAAAGAGGTACTCGTAAGTGAAAGAATTCCTGGTTCAATTGGATATATTTGTCTGATTTCATCTGCCATATGCACTTGAAAAGATGTATATTTTTGCATTGTTGGTCCATAGTATGAAGTAACATGGCCCTGCATAACAAAATGGACATTAAATACATTTTCAATGGTTACATTCTTTGATAATTAAGTCAGTTAAGATTTCAAACTGTGTGATCTAATATTTTCGTGTTGTTTATTTTTCTGAATTATAATGATAAATTTTAATGCTACCATATAATAAATAGCTTCTTTGATAACTATATTGTGCAAAAAGGATTATTTCAAGTATCCAAATGCTAAACTTAATTGACAATGAGCCCATTGATTTGGACTTATGATAGATAAATAATCAAAGTAAATTTAAATACATAAAGTTTATATAAAAGTTTATCTTTTACCCCCTGGTTCCCCATCCATATAAGTTCTTCATTTGTGTCAAAAGTAATTGCTGAGACTCCATATCTATCACCCCCATCTGCCAGAACCTGAGCGATTTCCGTATATTCCGAAAAATGATCGTTAATATAAGTCTGACTAAAATCGGGCGAGTAGTGCCCACTGTGGCTGGCATCTTCGTACACTAAAAATAACATAAATAACGCGCGTAAATGTCAAGTTGACAAAACAACTGTATAACCTCGAAAGAAACAAAACGTTTCCATAGATATTTCTATCTAAAATAAATCAAATTACTTGTCAAAGTGAGTATATCATCGCATCGGCTAATTGGATCGACGGGATAATGATAATCCATTATCCAAGATAATGGATGGATTTGTTTAAGGGACCACTATTGACAAATACGTACAGCTGTGTTGTTATTAATGGCGGCGTATTGTCTAAACTACTTTTAGAAAAGCTTGTTTATTCATTGCAGAGCGCTATAACATCGGCAAAGAAGTTTTACAGCTATATTCAATACATATGCCTGATTGAAGCGACAGATGACTCTAATATATTGTTATTAAAGTTCTTGTTTATCATTAATGAAAAATGCATAATTATTTTCAATAAAATTGAGCATGAATTTAAGACTCTGTTAAAGCATATCAACATTAAATTCAAGATTATGTGCAATTTTATATATCCATATTTTCAGTTTCAAAAGTGGCGCTTTTCGTTTGATTATCCTTTGTTAAGTTGGTGAAACAATATGGTTCATGAAATTTCTTAGCTGTCATTGTGTTAAATTTGTACGTCAACTAATTGTCATAAATGATAATTTTTCATCATTCTAGAACAAGTTAAATATTTGATCATATGAGTTTTTTTACGTTTTACTTTTTATTTAATTTATAAAGTGCCTGTGTAAAAATGGAATAAATATTATTTAGAAGATAAATCTGTTTGTGTATATTTCATATTAATCATGGGTATTTTTAATCTTTCATCACCTTTCGATGCTGATATCGGTATGTTCAGGGTGTTAAATTATTTTCTATATCTATTTACATTGTGAAGTAATATTTTGTATTTTCTATGTACTTAGAAAAAGCCACAAGTGAAAATAACACTTCAGAACAATGGGGAGCCATAATGGATGTTTGTGATAAAGTAGGATCAAGTGCTGCAAATGCCAAAGATGCTTTACGTTCAATTGTTAAAAGACTTTCACATGCAGACCCTCATGTAGTAGTTCAAGCCATTACTGTAAGTCTATTTTTTTGTTATTTAGGCAACAATCTGAACATGAACATGAACATTTTATGAAAACATTTGATCTTTAATACGAATTAGTCTTCATTAGGTTGCAAAACTATATATGTATGGCTTGTAAGTTACAAATCACTCTAATGTATTCGACATCTTCATTTTGAATACAAAAGTACATTCTACTTTAATATTCTACTTAAATATTCATAGCCAGAGAGTAATATAAATTAAAATTTATACACTTAAGTATGGGACCTTTTGTAAATAAAAAACACAATTCTTATCATATGGAAATCAGAATGTCCATAAAAGTGTTTACATTTCATGTTAGTTTTATCTTGATAAGCTTAATCTGGATAAATTTGTCTTATGAGTCATTTGTCAACATGCAAATTAATAACATAATTTTTGCTCATAAATGCATCATTTTAAACTTAATTATATTAATATATTATTAAATTCAATTCAAGATGAAATGATTGAAAATTAATTTCTATTTTACATCAATACATTTCTTTTTTCAGCTTCTTGATGCTTGTGTAAATAATTGTGGTAACAATTTCCACTTAGAGGTGGCATCACGTGATTTTGAAAATGAATATCGTAGATTACTTTCAAAAAGCCAACCAGCCGTAGCTTTAAAGTAAGTAAGAACTTTCAGGGCTTCTAAGTCTTTTGATTTCACCACACTTTGATGTCAATTACAGATTGAAGCAATTATTAAAAAAATGGTCAGAAGGAGAATTCAAATCTGACCCTCAACTGAATTTGATTCCATCACTCTACAATAAATTGAAAAGTGAAGGTGTTGATTTCTCTGATGTGCAAACTAATGTAAGTTTGAAATAATTATTCGGTAATCAAATATTGTATTAAAAGATCAGTTGATAATAATGATAAATTTGTAATTAGACACCTAAACAACATCCAGTAAGTAAAGATCCAAATGTAGTTTCATCACAACAAGAGGAAGATGATATAGCAAAAGCTATAGAATTATCTCTAAAAGATAAAAGTAATTCAGTGCGACCACTTTCATCAAATTCTGTGAGTTAATCTTAAGTACAAATAAAATTATTTCTAATTTAGATACAACTGTTGATTTGTATTTTTACTATTAGGCTAGTTCTTCCCTCTATCCATCTATGCAACTTTCTGCACCCATGCCTAGTACATCAAATAATTCAGAGCCCCGCAAAGTCAGAGCTCTATATGACTTTGAAGCAGCAGAAGATAACGAATTGACCTTCTTAGCTGGTGAAATAAGTAAGAAAAATTTACTGATTTTAAATAGTGCTGTAAATTCAATATATTTTTTTTTAATTTTTGTTCTTTAGTCCATATGCTAGATGATTCAGATCCTAATTGGTGGAAAGGATATAATCAACATGGAGAAGGTTTATTTCCTGCCAACTTTGTAACTGCTGATTTATCAGTTGAACCAGAACAATTTAGTCAGTATACCAAAGCAATTTTGATTAGATACTATTATTAATGTAAGGTTTCTATAAGGAAGAAATTATTTTAGGAATTGATGCTAACAAGAAATCTGTTCAATTTTCTGATGCTGTTCAAGTCAAAACTATATCTCATGATGATGAAACCAGTCCTGAAATTAATGAAGAAAGTATAGATACTTTATTAAATTTATTACATGAAGCAAATCCTGAAGATCCTAATGATGATACAGAGCAAATGCTCAACTTAGAAGGTAAGTAAGGATTTAGCATTAAAAAATTCTAGTAATATCCAATATGAATCCTATTCAATGTGCTACTGCAACAAGAATCATGTGCTTTTAGGCTAAAATAAAACTTCCTGCATATTCTAACAATATTATTATTTGTTTTAACTTCTATATTTTAGTTCAAGTAAATAAAATGGGCCCTCTGATTGATGCTGAATTAGAAAATATTGACAGAAAACATGCCCAACTTACTCAATTGAGTGGCGATTTAGTAGAAGCACTTAATTTATATCACACTTTAATGAGAGAACCAGAAAGACCTCAAATGCACAATATGTATGGCCCTCAAGGTTATCCAAATATAACACAGGTATAACAATAATGTATAAATAATAAGTAAATTGATGTATTTTAAAAATACTTGATATAATTTTTTGTAGCAACAAATGTTTCCTCCAAGAGATTTTATGCCAATGCCAACTAATAGTATGGGAATGAACATGCCTGTTTATGCAATGGGTCCCCAAATATTGCCACCTGGTAATGCATTTTTATTGATTCACTATTATTAATTTTATTTTGATTTCAAATACATTACAACTCTAATAAATTAAATCCCTCTAGGTATGGTTGCACCTGGGCAAATGAATATGAGTTTACCACCTGTGATAGGAATACCACCAGGCAACCCACAGATATCCCAAAATAATCCTCAACCACATTCCCTAAATACTACAATGGCCCAGACAAGTCCTATGCCCCAAGGCCCTGTGCAAAGAGTTCCTCCAAATAATCCTCATGTAAATTTGCATAACATGAATACAAATCCTGTAATGATTCCTAATCAGACAATAGTAAATCAAAGTCAGCCACAAATGCAATTGATTCAGAACAGTTCTCAAATGTCCCTAGCGAATAATCCTCAACCAATAGGACAACCACAACCAGGCCCTAATCCTATGTTAATACATCAAATGTCTCAACATTTAAATGGATTGCATATTACAAATGGCATGGGAACCATACCTGCATCAAGCCATTCTAATCCTAACGATGAATCCCAACAAAGTGTGCAATATCAGCAGCGGTAAGAAATTTTGATATATCAGTTCATATACAAAACAAATTTATATCACCAGTTTTAAATTATAAATGAATTATTAAACTGAACAATTGTTTTAATTATTTGCAGAATGGGGTCAAATATATTTATGCAGGGACCTCAAGCATTGCCGGGTCACATGTAATTTATTTATCAATATCTGTGTTATCGAAATTTATAAAAAGCTGATAAAAAGCCTTCTATATCAATGATATATCATTGACAACATATTTACTCAAAGTATATTTTTTGTATATTTTAATTTTACATAATACGCAAAGTTTAAGCTTGTATCACATAATTTTAAGTTGATAGGTGTTAAAACTATCTATTTATTGTGATTTTTTTTATGTACATTCTTAATCTTGTATTGCTTGTAAAGCATAAAAGGATATTTAAGCAGTGTCAATATGCATTTTAAACAGTTTGCTATTAGTGGCATCTAAAATATAACTCTTAACATTTAGAATACTTATAAAACAAATTTAACAAACTTTATATTCCTCATTGTTAAATTTATATATAATATGTATATACGTATACTGATGTATAATAATTATAAATACATGAATATCTTTTAAAAATATAGTTTATAAAATTTAATTTTTTTTGTTTTTTTAATAAAACTTTTAAAAAAATAAATATCTGATTTAATTATACCTTAACCTCTGATTATGTAGCACTATAATTTAATTTATTATTCAAAAACCAAATTTATTTTAAATTTTTTTATTTTCTTTTTTTTCTTTTCGTGCGCCCTCTACATCTACGATTCGTTGTAGTAGTACTACTACTACCTTTAGTACCTTTTTTAACTGATACATTAGAATTATTTCCACTACATCTAGGACTTACAAGATGCTGAGAAACTAAATCTGCTAAAGCTCCTTGCTGAGCTAACATTGATAAAAATGTGCAAATAAAGTTATCATAATTATGAGTACGTCTACAGTCATCCACCTAAAAGAAAAAAATAATTGACAAATGAGAAAAACAAAATTTTGTGAAAGTAAAATAAATTTATGAAAAATATATGATGCTATAATTAAAGTACAAATTAATAATTTGCATAAAATTCAATGTTTATATATTTACCTTGTACATGTTTCTCTTATCATTCTCATCCTTCAAAGCTTGTTCGCATGACGCTATTTGGTTTTCCAAATCTTTGAGGTTTTGTTCTTTCGCGGCATCTCTACTCTCATCCTCTGCAGGAAAATCATTGTCGATAACATCCACATCAATGACTTCCATGAACGTCTCAGGCTGCAAGGAAATAAAAAGTTATATTAATAAATGTATGTATTATATAATTATCAGTGTAAAAAAATTAGAATACCTTGTCTTCATTAAGTTCAGTTTTGGAATGTGATTCTTTGCTTGCTGAAACTTAAAGACGATAATAAATAAAATTTATTTTTAAAAATTCAATTTAGAAAACTGAAAATCTCCATTTAAGAAACTACGGTAAATTAATTATAGAACTAAACTATTTGAGTATGTTCTAGCATTAAAAATAACAATAATATTTATAATAAAATAATTTTACCGTACCATCAGCCGGAGCATTTGTATAATTATGTTGCACATTAGTGTTAGATTCAGATGATATATCCTCTTGTTTTTCCTCCTGCATATATAAAATAAATTACTCACGTAATGTTCACTCTAGTTATAATTAAATAATATATTACCTTTTGCTCATTATCATTAACATTAAGAAGTTTTGGTTCATTTTCAGCTGATGTACTTAACATTATTTTATTTATTCCATCTGCAATATTAGGCTCTTTTAAATCTGATATATTATCTTCCGTTTTTAATTCTCCAGACATTTCTAAAGGGTCTGTTTCAATTTTATCATCCAAATCACTTTCGTATTTGTTATCATCTGAATTTGTGCAATCTTTTGATACATCTACTACACAAAGTGTATTTGTAACTTGTTCATATTGTTCTTTTAATTTAACCAATTTATTTGTTATTGCAATTCTTCGATCTGGTACAACAGCCATTAAATTGAATCTATAAAATAAAAATATTAAAATTTACATTTAATGTGCTCTACTAAGCCTAATATTATTATTATTAAATATACATATCCTGTGACCTCACCTTATATCCTGTTCTCCTGTTGACATGCCTAATCGTTCAGCCATTACAACTCTAAATTTATCAGTCCAGTTTTCTAACGGCTTGCAAGGCCCATGATCAATAGGAAAAGGTTTAAGTCCATCTAACTCAAAAAGGCGACCATCAATTGGAACATAACTCACAAAATGAAATGCTTCTCCTAAAAAATAACAATTCAAACAGATGAACAATATGAATTGTAATATAGTTTGTCCATATAACAATACCGATTAAGTATTTAAAGCTGATGATTTATAAAAACAATCTTCAAACCTGTAAATCTTCCTGAGCTGACACTAGATGCCCGATCTAAGCGTCTCCTAGCTTGAGGCATAGCATGTGAATTATGAGCACAAGCCAATTCTGGTGTATTACCGATTGCCCAGCCCTTATTTTCTGGAGACATACCTGATGTGTGTACTTTCAGTCTACTTAATGTATCGCCCAAATGTATGTTCGGACAATTTAATAATACAGATAATAATGCATGGGTTGCACAACTATTGGGAACTACCTATGAATGAAATGATTTATAATATTAATTAAAGACAACTTGTGTAAGGAAAATATAATAAATCTGAGCCAAAATAAACACATTTTAGTTAATTATTATATATTAAACACTGGATAGATAATAATAACATATTAATTTTATATCATTATATTGGGGGATGGTTTAAAAATAATACTGGCGAGATTATTGTGCAAAGAAAATTGCATATTAAAAAGATAAGCCATATAATAATTAGGATTACTTTTCCACAAATGTATTTTGCTTTTGATTTAATTTTTTCTTATAATAATTGATTATTTTACAGACCTGTTGTGCAAAAAATATCTTATTAACAGCTTCTTCATCCTTAACATAACTTTCGGTTTGTTCAACGATTTTTCTTCTTGCACGACGTTCTTCTATCCAACGAAAAAGAAATATGAAACCGAACACAGGATCCTCTAAAGGTTTTTGTAAATCATAAATTTCCTCAACTTGCACCCCTTCAACCCCAAAGTCTTCCAATAATAATGTAAATAAACCTGGATCGCTCTCTAATTCCAACCAACCTTCTGTTAAATTATTAATATCAACTGGCATATTTATAATTTGAATATTGTACAAATATTAAATATCAAAGCGGTTGGGAAAAAACAGTTAAAATTACATATTAGTATTATTTCGGATTAGTAAACAAATCAACATTTCGGCATTAACGCGTTTGACAACTATACTGAAAAAAAGTTTTTTTGTGTTGGTAATGCTGGTTGGGTTCAAAACAAAAAAAGATGCAATAAATATTATTGGGGTGCTGGGATATGATTGGGATTATTCAAATTTATTAATTAAAGGACTGCGTATTTTAAATAAAAATCTAATTCAAAATTAATAAATGGAACAGCAATAAAAATCTTCAGCCTTTTCAAGTAAGCATTAAGTTTTTCTAATATTGTGCAATATTATCCGAACTTATGAGTAACGTATATATTGTTAAGGAGTAACTAGAATTTTTATATTCAATAGATACATAAAAATAAAATGAAATTTTAAATATACTATTTATATTTTTTACATAATGAATATCCCGCCTAAAATTAATTACCCCAGGAAGAAATCTTTTGAATCTTTACGTTTACAACTTCAGGTTACTCCTTTGAAAATAATCCTAATGTCATATGTCAAAAAAAGCACAAATAAATATTGTGGTAAAGATAACTATAACAAATAATATTAATAAAATATCACTTCGTGATTGTTGTACAGGCTATCTTTTTGTTGTTAAAACTCGTTATCTCGTTTTCTAAATTAACGGCTAAATCTATAAAAATTTAAGCATATAAAATCTAGAACATTAATTCGTTAAAATGGGTAGTACAGAAGTAGCAGACTTATTGGGAGAACTATGCTCTGCCTTGCCAAAAGACAAGAAAGGTTTTTTTAGAAATAAAATATGTAATAATATTACTTAATAAACTGTTAAATTTGCAGAAGATGCCTACAAAATCACAATTACATATCTTAACTCCTTTTCTGATGGTTGGAATGGAACTACAATTGATGAATTACAGTTGTTCAGAAACATTCAAGACCACATTAGAAAAATTAAATCAAAAGAAGAAGCTGAGCTATATCAAGGATTGCATGAAAGATTATTCAATAATGTAAGTCTATGATTATTAACAATAAATTTGAGAAGCCCTAAAGATTGTATTTATTGCTTGTGGGACTTATTTATTTGATTAGATCAACCCCCATTCATATAATTCAAGAATTCAACTCAGTGTTTTTCTAATTTTTTACAGAGATACCCAAAAAATAAGAAGCAAATTTTAACTCTTCTTTTAAACTTAAGTGGTTACTCAAACAAATCTCATACTAGATTCACCATGCTTTCAAATACTCTTTCTTATAAACCTACAAATGGTGGAATAAATAAAATGAAATCTGCGAGAAGCGCGCCTTTAGAAGTTGAGCGACTGTATAAAGCACACAGTGTAAAGGTATACTATTACTGTCTACTACTGAGAGTATAATAATAAAGACTTAAATCGAAGCCAATTTTTGGTAATAACTTTATAAGTTTATGCAGTCAATACATTTCTGTTTACGCAAGATTTATAAAATAACAGTATCAAAATAATAATATACCAACATATCTAAAAAATTTTTTTTTACAGTCATTTAATACTCAATCAACCGCCGATTGCACAATGGTTCCTATGCAGGTTTTATCTAAACAAGGATCTGATATAAGTTTATGTAAATTTGACTATAATATCTTAGCATTTATATAGCGTACTGATTTTCACAATAATTTTATGAACAGATGTAGATGATGTTGCAGAAGACAAATTGGTTCAAGAATTAGTGTATTGTTTTCAAGGTATTGAGGGAGAAGTGTTAAAGAGAGAAGCGGCTGGTGGGTTTTATATTGACCCACGATCAAAATTGAGACGGACTCATTTAAGACTTGTTTTACGACTTGCAGAATTAGGATATTTTCACGATAAGGTAATATGTTTTGATATTATCTGTTTAATTGCATTTAAAAATTCAAATTAAACATTTTTTTTGATTTTGTAATAATTACCTGATATTTGTTGTTTCAGGTCAAGCAATATACTGATATAAATTCAGGAATGGCACCTTTGGGGTTAGTAGGCCAAGGATTTATATCAGAATTGCGAAAAGAATTAACAGAGTACTATCGTATGGTAGCTGTGCTACATGAACAAGTATGCCAAGATTAAATAATTGTTTTTTACTGTTGATAAATATGTATAATTTAAAAAAAAAATATTTTGCTATAGTAATCAAAATTAATTAAAACATGTAACATTATTGTTTATTTAGGTGAGAAAAAATAATGAGTTTCAAGAATCCATTACTTTATTAAATTTGTTATGTTGGGTAAGGAGTCCTATGCATCGCTTAAAATGGTTGTGCCGAATAGCTAATTCCTGCGAAGGTTGTAAAGGTATTTGATATTGCAAAAAGTTCTAATTGATTCTTAAATAATTCAACCAATTTATTTATTTTAAACTAATTGAATATTTCATATAAAAACTTGAATTATCAAGTTTTTATATGAATATTAATGTTATTCATTTTTTTGTTTGTTTCTTTTATGTAGGTGGGGCTTTGGCATCAATGGTTTATTCATTTCTTTGGCATGGTGACCCAAGAGTATCAGCATTATCTAGTCAAGTATTGAGTGCAGCTTGCGCTCCTTTATACACCATGCTCACTGATTGGTTATTGGACGGTGAGATCAAGGATCCTAGTCAAGAATTTTTCATAGAAGCCTTGCCAAATATTTCTGGAGATAGATTATGGCATCAAAAGTATCGTGTGAGGTTAGTAGCATCCTCAGCAATTTGCATTCACTTTAACTAAATATCATTCTTTTTTCTTGGTAATAGAACTAATATGTTACCTGATTTTATAACTATGGAAGAAGCAGAAAAAATATTGGCTACAGGAAAATGCATTAACTTCTTACAAGAAGTATGTCAGGACTCTCTGCCTCTTGAAGGCAGAGAAGCTTTGAAACGTGTTCTTCAGACATCAAATGGTCTGTAAGAAAATGAAAAGCTAATGCAAAATGTTATGAAATCATATATAAATGCTCACTTTTCTATTTTTAGTGAAATCTCTTTATGACAAGAAAAAAGATTCTGCTCTACATTCAGTTATGGATACAGCTTATCGTGATGCTTCTAGAAGAGTCTTAGATACATTGATGGGAAAACATAAATTATTGGAGCATTTACAAGCACTAAGGCGTTATTTGTTATTGGGACAAGGAGATTTCATAAGACATCTGATGGAGCTGTTAGAGTATGTTATTTCAAAAGCTGATATGATTTGTTAAGTGATAAACTGTTTTTTTTATAGTTTATTTAATTTTTTTCATTTCTTCAACTATAGTTAATCTCAGTATATTTAATATGTCTATTCTCAATGAGTGGACTAGAAATCAGTCGCCTTTTAAATAAGAGTAAATAATTATAGCACTCTAATTTATATTATTCCAGACCAGAGCTTGCAAAGCCTGCATCCCTCCTATTTCGCCATAATATGTGCAGCATGCTTGAGAGTGCTATCAGAGCAACAAATGCACAGTTTGATGATCCGGATATTTTAAATAGATTAGATGTGAAGCTTATTGAATCATCTGCTGGTAAGTTTAAAGTCAACAATTTGATATTTTAAAATCTATTTGATAGATTGTTTAGAAATGCAATACAAAAACTATTAATTTTTAAAGGTGATACAGGTTGGGATATATTTTCCTTGCAATATCATGTTCAAGGACCAATAGGAACAGTGTTTGAATCAACTGAAAATGAATATTTGATATTATTTAATAGCTTGTGGAAATCAAAGCGTATGGAGTTTATTTTGTCGAGATTGTGGCGAGAGCAAATGACATCTACAAGATTTTTACAAGATATGAAAAGTGAGAAATTTCATTTTGTGAAAATTTTCTCTTTTTGAAATATTAACATTAAAAGAGTATAAAATGCTGGTTATGGAAATTTGTCATATACATTATTGTTACAGAATTGCGCCCTATCATGCAACAACTTCATATTTTAACCTCCGAGATGGTACACTTTATTCATCAAATACAATATTATATTTTGTTTGAAGTATTGGAGTGTTCATGGGCAGCACTTATAGAAGAAGTAAATAAAGCCGAAAGTTTGGACCATGTGCTTTCAGCCCACCAAGAATTTTTAAATACTGTACATGCTGGTGCAATGTACTCTGGTCCAGGAAATGTAAGCTCATATTTAATCACATTGCGCACTAATGATTAAAAAATGCAATTGAATAATTTGGAAATTTGAGTTTAGTAAATTTATTCTAGCTTTAACTTTTTACAGAATCTGTTAACATTATATACACCTATTGTGGAACTACAACGCCTTCAAACAGAAATATATAATGCCGCATTTAAAGAACTTCAAGCTCAAAAAGACTTTCTGGATAAAATAGAAGCCTCTGAAAAACTTGGTGAATATGGAGTCAATAATGAACAAAGGTTTGAACGAGATCAGCAACAGAAAAACTTTGAACATTTCATTGATCTAAGAAAAGAAAAACTTAATGGCATATCTTCAATATTTGGATCATCTTGCAAGAACTTCCTTCTAATGCTTTCTTCTTCAGACAACGTTAATCTGCAATTACTAAGCAATAGGTTGGATTTCAATGGCTTTTATAAGAGAAGTGACTTCAGACTAAATGCCCCATTAACCTATCAATACAAGAGAATGAGCAATATGAATCCTGGTGCAAATTCAAGGATGTCAATTAACAAATTTAGAACCAAGTGACATCAAATTCAGAAAAATACTGAAACTTTGGAGCCTCGTAATATAATGCTGAGCCCTAACAAAAAACTTGAAGATGCAAATAAATTAAAAATTGAACAATGCTCACAAAGTAATGAAATTGATTTTCATTTACAAGCTATAACACATGAGCACAATTTTACTAACTCACATTGTAGTGTCCTAAGATATGGTAGTGTTGACGTATTGTGTCCAAAAAAATGTAAGAAAAAGATCTGATGTTGCGTGGGGTGAGTGCAATTATTACGAGTTTTAGCACTCACTCCCTATGAATTGTCAAAGATTGAAATTTGTTTGTAAAAAAGACTAAAATGACAGTATTAAAGCTTAAACTTGTTTTGTATATACATTCCTAATTTGTTTGATATTAATAAAAACAATTGTTAAACTAAATTATCTTTTATTGTGATTAAATGAGCCATCTAAGTCAACTGATGCAGTGAGAGTTTCATGTGAATAGCTCTTTTCTGCAAATGGACAATGACACGGTTTAACAAACATACTTCAACAAAGCTCTTGCATGCTCTATCCTCACAATTCATTGAAAGACTTACAAAGTAAAAAATAAAAAATAGTTAGCTCAAACTCATCTTAAATCTAAACAGCTATCACAAATAATTGGATCACTGCATTGTGGCTTTAATAGAATTAATAGATAAAAAGATAGTTTTAATAATTTTAAATTCCTATCAACTGCTTAAATATAAAATATTTAAAGATAAATTAAAATATCTCTATACAAAATAACAAGCAAGAACTTCATTAACAGTAAACAATAAAAAGAGTCACAAATTGAATATATTTCTACATCATTTTTTAAGAGGAATTCATCAGTGTCAAGTTTTTCAATTTCAAAATTAAAATTAGTCAAAACAGAGGATGAAAAATATACATAATTCCTATATAAATAACGCTTTGATATCATCTTTTTATACACTAGTCTACTTTAATTAACTTGGGGGAGGTGGAGGTGGTTGTGCTAATAGAGTAGGCAGACTTGCCATTGGGTTAGTCTGCTGCTGACCAGGTGGACCAGGAGGTGGTGGCTGTGGAGGTCCTGCCATAAATCCTGGCATACCTGGTGTACCCGGTGCACCCGGCACACCCCATGGGAATTGTGGTCCCATTTGCCAAGGGGCAGGCATGCCTCTAGCACCTGGCGGGCCCATTCCTGGTGGTGGCATTGGTGGTCCCATTCCTGGCGGAGGTGGACCAGGTGGACACATTCCTGGGGGCGTGGGAGGAGCACCCATACCTGGAGGTGCCATTCCTGGTGGTGGGGGAGCAGTTCCATTTGTAGTTGAAGCACCTATAATAAATTTAAAATACATTATTTAATCTAATTAAAAAAAAAATTAAATTTAAGTTGTGTCTTGCCCTTTTCAAAAAAAGAAAAATTTATTACCTGCTGCTCCATTGCTTTGTATACTTGAACTTATAGAACCAGTTTCAGAGGGTTCACTGCCTGGAGGATGGATTGCAGGAGATGGCGATGGACCGCTTCCTGGAGGAGGGGGTTGATTATGTGGCGGACCCATCCATGGCATCATTGGAGGCATGGCACCTGGAGGAGGCATGCCTCCTGGAGGAGGTGGAAGGTTCCAGTGTGGTGTTCCCCATGGTGGATGCATTCCGGGAGGAGGCATGGCTCCTGGTGGTGCCATTATAGCACGAGGAGCTGCATTTCGCATATCAAATACACCTCGAGGAGCAGAAACTGCTGTTTTTCTAGAATTATAAAGAGATTCATGCCGAATTACATTACGAAGAATCTAATGAAAAAAAAAAAGAGTACTTATGAATATTTTCAAATAAAATATGAATAAAAACCATATTTCATCAAAATGTTTATCAATTCATGTGGCAGTTTTTAGTTAACAAAAATTATGAAAATGCCATTTACCTAGCAGCGCCTGCCTGTGAGCTATCTGGAGGAGGTCCTTCGCCCAGCTCTGCCATAAGTGACAAATATTCTTCATCAATTTTAGCTTGCGCAGTTGCAGGTGGTGGACCACCCATTCCAGGCCTTTTACTGCGACAATCTCGTGCTATATGACCAGCACCACCACATGAAGAACAAACTATATTGTTTGTAACATTAGGTTTATCCGGACACTAAAAATAAAAAATATGTACAATATTTATTTTTTACTGCAATCCTAATTATAGCATAGAAATAGTAAATGAAATTCATGAATAAAATAAAATATTGAAATAGTGTCGCAGTTGCAGAATTTTAAAATAGAAAAGCCTAATCAGCATTATAATGAAATATTTAAGGTCAAAAGTCCATTATAACATTCACTGCTTCCAAAAAAAAATCTTATGAAAAATGAATCACAAAGCCATTGAAGATGCAAAACTCACCAGCCAACTTTTATGCTCAGTAGAGCCACAATTAGAACACCGAGGACCGTCAGTTTCCCTTAGAGTACCATTAAGCTGTGCCAGTTCTCTTAACTGCATCCTCCTCAAGTCATTGTGACCCTCGGGCACCTCAATTCCTTGTCTGATAACTTCTTTAATCTGATAAATATTTGAAATCAATCAATCCTAATTTATTATAAACATCTTTATAAAATTTATGAGCTGTAAAAAATACAATAAATTAATATATATTACTTAAATAATACCTTGTCCACAGCCTTTTTAACATATTCAGGATTGCTGGCTGTGATAAAAGCATGCAAGGGTTCATCCTCTCCTGGCAAAGGTTGTCCATCTTTTCTACCAACTTTACCTTCTTTGACTGAGCCTTTACCGCGGATAATAATCTTTGCACCCGTTTCTTTCTCCATTGCTGAAAATGAGAAAATATTAGAATATTTTGCTAATGACCATAAATATTTTATTCTGTTAAAATTACATTTGAGTGTGTTTCCACGTGGTCCAATGAGTAATCCAACAAAATTAACATCTGGATGCTGTTCTTGTGGAATCACAACCTTATCACTTACTCTTATAACAGGAGGTCTGTAAAAAAACGTGAAGAACTTATTTACATATATTAAAAACTTATTCATACATTAAAAGACAAAAATTGCACCCACGCCAGGCTGTTTTTAATATAAGATATGTGTACCAGAAAATAATAATGTCAATTATCTGCAAAGTTTAAAAACTAAATTTCGCTTACTTGTAATCAGCTGGTGGTTTAAATTCTGGATTGATAGTTTGCATTTTCAAAATAAGATTATGACGTTGCTCTTCCAAGTTTTTCCTTGTGCGAAATTCTCTTGTGTTCAACCGTTTACCATCAGAACTATAAATTGGCTCAGGTGATGGTGATCTGCAATAGATACAAAACAAAAAAAACGTTCAGAAAAGGTTCCCTACCAGATTCAAACCAAAGAATTATAAGTCATATTACTTATGAAGAACACTCATTTTCACCATTAACATGATAAACGTGAGCATTTTAAGTAATGTAATGTTTCCCATAATTCGTAAGGTATGAATCTGATTCATCTTTAATTAAACCTACAAAAAATTATACTTGATTATTTATTAACAGGATGAATTATATCTAAAACAAAAAGTGAATTATTAAGATTAGTAGCTGCAATAAATCATTTTAAATTCTTTATTGTTTATTGAAATAAGCCGGGTCTGAATTTAAATTTCCGCCTCTTTAATTTCATATAATATCCGCTTCGTAGACCATCAAAGTTCGCACTCGGCAAAGGCACTAAAATTATGCCAAAACTGCATATTAATTAGTTTTCCTAAAATATTAATGATTAATATCATTAAATTAATTTTAATAATATTTCAAAAGTATTAATTATACCTCTATCATCTGAGTAAAGTATATTCTATTCATAAAAGTAATCTGTGGTTTTAAAATAACTGTAATTACCATATATTTCGGCAAAATTTAGTAATTAATATTGTAAAGTATTTGGAAATTAAGTTTTAGTTATGAATCTCAATATATTTGAATAATAATAATAAAAAGACGTCCCTTAAGACGCCAAACCTGTATCTTGCTCAATTCTTTTAACCCAACAACTTCTAGACTGATTTGAATAGTTTTGAAGCAACTGGAGCATTGGCTGCTTTACACATAGTACGGCCTCAATATTCAAACATAGTGTATAATATTTCACAAATAATTAAAAATATTGATAACAAAAATATTCTCTTGTTTTGTTACGAGTTCTTATTGGTGCTCTGTTTGATGGCAAGGTGATTAATGTAAGTGCAAAAAATATAAATTTATGTTAAATAAAAGGTGTGCCAATTCAAAACTGAAAAATCACATTTACTATAAGTCTATCAAACTCAGTTGGTTCTTAATGTGTATAAAAAACTTAAGTAATAAAGATAATATTAAAAAAAATAATGAGAATATTTTTTGTATTTGATTATTGAGGTATTTTTAATGTCTTCTCATATTATGTGTAATTTATTGCAGATGATTGTTTCTTGTAAGCTTAAGAATAGAGGAGTTGACTTCCAAACCTTTCTTCAACATTTGCTGGAATGCCTAGATCACCAGAGCGAAGCTTGCGACTGACTTCTTCGATTTGCAGCTGAACTGTAAATGAAGGGGTTAAAAGAGGGCAAATGCCCCAAAATTAGATATAAAAATTTTTATGGCATCTTTAAAATGCATGTAAATCAATTTCAAAACATATTTAAATTCTACAAAACCTGGTACTGAAGTTAAACTAATCTGTATTCTGTAAGCAATAATTAGTTAAAAGATTAAAATTGATATTTAATTATTTAAATCTAGATTTGCTCATTTACCTGATGTACCTATTAATTAGCCAATTTTATAGTTTTTTTTTTTTTTAATATCTAAAGTATGAAATCTATGTAGTGAACTTATATATAGGAACTGATTACTTACTTAGATATGCTTCCTGCTGTTCCTTGGACAGAGTAGGAGGTAAGATTGTAGGCATACCAGGAATGAATGTTTTATCATGTTCACCACCGCCCCAACGTGATCGTTTCCTTCTAGCCCTTGCCTCTTCCGCAGTTTCAACATGGGGAGCTAAAAAGAGAACAATTCACATATTAATCACAAAGCTCATTTTACTGATATATTTATTCAACTTGAGAACATACTAAAAGTATCTAAAGGTAAACATATTAGGTAAATAAAATATTTTGTGAAATATATTACCTCCTAATCCATTACCACTCATTTGGTTTATCTGCTGAGCCGTTAATAAACCTGTAAAGTTTCTAGAAGTAGTAGCTCCAATTATATTTTCTAAAATAGAATATTGAAGACTAGGTTCCAAGATATTACTCGTCTCTTTATCTCTGCTTCTTGTGTCCCGATCTCTGCTTCTGTGCCTGTCTCTGCTCCTGCGATCCCTGCGGCGATCATGGCGATCTCGACTTCTCGACCTGATAAAGGAAATAATAATGATTAAGTGACATAATACTAGAAGAATATGCTAGCACAATGAGGTCCTTTTTCATACCTTTTTCGATCGCGGTCGTGTCTTCGATCACGATCACGATCGCGATCACGTTCTCTGTCCCGGTCTCTATCACGATCGCGATCGCGATCACGGTCACGATCACGATCACGGTCTCGATCTCTGTCTCTATCTCGATCCCTGTCACGATCTCGTCCACGATCTCTATCTTTGCTATCACGATCTCTGTGACGTGATCCAGAAGTCATGTTTATTACACTGATTAACACAAACTTTACACTGAAACGTACGATCAGAAAAGAACGGCACACAAGTAATCAATATTATACACTTGTTTACAACGGGAGCACCCTTATCCTTGCGAGCCCCCACTGAATTTTCAACTATGTACTTTGAGAAGTGAATTCAAAATGGCTGTCTTTTTAGCAGCTACAATCTGCGTCAATAAAACACTGCCAACATAAGAAAAAAATGATGAAGCTGTCAAAATCAAAACAGATTTTAGAGGTTTACAACATTTTAACGTACTTTATTGTGCAAATATCGATTTGATAACTAGATAAAAATAAAAATCAAGACTTCGTGAGAAACATGTTAAGAATTCACTTACTTAGAATATAATATAATACAAATGTTCACTTTTCACCTTATCTGAATTGATTAAAATGACAGTTTTACATACTGATTGCATTCGTTGTATGATGAGCTCAGAGTGTACTAGTATTTTTCATATTTATCATGATGACAGTTAAATAAAAAGCATTAACCTTTCTCAAATATTAATGTTCATATATAATCCTCATTGGAGAATATAATAGCTGCAATGAGTATACAAATGAAAGAAACACTTCATGATGATGAATATTATTTACAACTTACCAATAACCCAATTAGATTTGAAGCAGTTAGCCAGTTGACCAATGTTTTCTTTGATGATTCTAACAGACAGGTTTTTAATTTTTATCTCTATAATTCACTCTCATAAGAAATATTTTATTTAATAATATACATATACAGGTGTTTGCCATACGATCTGGAGGTGTTACAGGAGTAGTTGTCAAAGGGCCTGATGAAGATGAAAACATCAGCTTCAGGATGGAGGATAAGGGTGCTTACCTTTTCTTGTTAAAGTGCCTGTTTACTAGGTTGTTTATAGTCATATACATTTTGAGATATTTCTTTTTATAGGTCCTGTTATCTCCATAAAATTCTCACCTGATAGAAAAATCTTAGCTGTGCAACGAACAAATACAACTGTTGAATTTATGAATTTTGTTAATTCAACACTTGATCCACTTGAGTATTCATTGAATTGTAAAGCAAAATCCATAATTGTAGGATTTATATGGATTTGCCATAATGAAATTGCTGTTATAACTGATCAAGGCATTGAGTTGCATATTATTACTCCAGGTTAATTCAGATCAAATAAGATTGAATTGATCAAAGATCAAAATGAATTTATTTTCAATTTTTATTTTCATTAGAAAAACATTCGCTTAAACTTATTAAAACATTGGCTACATCTGTGCAATGGTTCACTTGGTGCTCATCGAAAGGAATCGCATTGTTGGCTAGCAGTCCAGGATTATTTCTTCAACCGGTGCAATTTAAACCTGGGACTATGACTAAATTACCAAGACTTGAAAGTTTGTATGAGTGTAAAGTATTTTTTTAATATCATGAAAATCTATTGTTTTAAAATGATTGGTAAAATTTTCAAGTGGAACCTGGTCGAAGTGTAATGGAAAGAGATGTAACATTGGCTCAACTATATGGCTCTGTTTATGCACTAATCTTACGTCATAATCCAGAAAAGTCTGCAGAAGTACAAATATATACTTTAGACTCACCATCTCCAAGAAAGAGATATGTATTGCAGTTAGGACTGTCTGGTCGTTTTGCTGTAAATGTAGTTGATGATTTGATTGTTGTGCATCATCAGGTAGTTTATGAGATATATAAAAAATATATCAATAACTATAGCAAACAACTATTTGAAGGCTTCCAAAACATCTCTGCTTTTTGACATATATTTACATGGTGAATCAACAAATAGTGGAGTCACTTATCATTTGCCACTGGCTCCTGCTCGTTCTATTAAACCATGTCTATTGAAGCATAATAGTCTGGAATCACCAACAATTAATTGCGACTTGTGTAAGTTCCCATATTTATTTTGAAACTTTAAAAGTTAATTTTACATATTATTTATAGAAATTATAATCAATGTATCAATTATTTATTATTACAGATTCAGCAACATGGGTTGTATTTCAGCCAGATGTTGTAATTGATGCGAGATTAGGATGCTTTTGGTGCATATCATTAAATTTATCAGCTTTGTGCAAACTGGTTGTTGACAGAGTTATATTATGTGAAATACTATTGAATCGGACTAATGGCAAATCATGGCTCGTTAAAATGTTAAAGCAGTTGTTAAATGAAACAGATGCTAGTACTTTATTGCCTACAATAAGTGAAGTCTTCACGACATTGAACAAAGTGTATAAGTAAGTGTTTATAAAAATGCACAGAAAGAAAATTTAATTTAATTTATAAAATAAATATTCTTTGAAATTGACCAAATTTGTGAATCTTACAGAGGGTGGTTAGATTCTGAATTACAATCACAAACTGCCACTGTGGCTTCTGTGAAGCCGATACCGATGAAACATGCAATGCCCAGAGTAATGCTTGCGCAACATGATATGTACAGTCATGTTTTGCAAGGCTTACAAGATGCACCTCATATTGGTTGGGTGTTGATTTGTTATCTCAAAAGTCTGACGGAACATTCAATTCCCGCAGGTAAGTTGCTAATAAGCAATAAGAATATTACATATTTTGCTCATATTTCTAAGAAACAAATTGCTTCTTTGGCGGCTCGTACCCCTGAACCTTGGTGTGTCAGGTTAATTACCACCTTAATATTAATTTTGCGGGGTTTTGGTGACTTCTAACTTACATTTCACATGATTAAAAGTAGATTTTTTTCCAGGTCATGCTTTAACCGAATTACTCATTACAACATTAATGAGGAAAGAAAAATTTAGCACACTACAACAATTGCTGCAATATGGAGTATTAGCAGATAGCAAACCTTTGGCTTGTATGCTTGTTTCATTATCTCACTTGTATCCCGCAGCAAGGCAAATAGCCAAAGATATGTTGGCTAGATTAAATGCACATGAGGTAATTAATATACATTAAGAGAATAATGTATCACAGTATTTTTTTTATATTCCTAAAATTCTCAATACACTATATTTTAAACAAAAAATATATTTTACATTGATCATTATGATCAATATGATGATTATGTTATTGTTATTGTTGATATAATAATAATAATTATTATTTTTTCATTTTAATTGTACGAAAAAATCATCCTATTCAGCTATAATTTAAAATATGAAGGATGTTTTCTCAGTATTATTATTCATGTATTAATAAAATGTGATTTTTATTCAGGAATTATTAGAAGTATTATTTAGTGAAGGTGAAGTTTTAGAAGCCTTAAGATTAGCACGAAATGTTCAAGGAACAGACTCAATATCAGCTCGTAAATTTCTTCAAAGTGCTCAAAATACTGGAGATGCCCTAGTTTTTTATGCAGTTTATGATTTTTTTGTACAGCGAAATATAAAACTGACTGGATCTTCAGCATTTTCTAAAAGTGAGTACATATTTGAAATATATATTGAATTTTTTTTAATAGCTTTGAAAGACCAAACTAAAATGCTTTTTTATATAATATGATTAATTATACATTTTACACATAATATCTAGCAGTGATTAAATGAATTTTGAAAAACAAATATAATTGCTATAATTAATTTTCTTATTAAATATTCTTTATAGTATGCGAAGTCTATGATCCTAAATTAATATTAATGACTATAAACGAAAAATTAAATATTCATCGATCTGTAAATTTCAATTTAATTACAACTAAATTTCTTTTCTAGGTGATCATTGTGATACATTCGTTAAACATTATAATACATTATTTCCTACACAATAATATTTTTATAAAATAACTAGAGTAATCTATTTAATATATACAATATGTATAGACAATTTAAAAAATTCTTATATACAGAAATATTTATGTATATATATATACATTTATACATAAATATGAAATATAAATCTAATGGAATGAGATCTAGTAAACAAATAAATTAAGTGATGTATATGAGTATATTATAAATTTTTTAATCTTTGACTGAAAATTTCTTGTTGTTTCTCTTTAAGTTCTTTTTTGGGTTTTCCTCGTTTCAGCTGACCGTCCCTGAAATAAAATATATACATGATAACAATTTTAACATTTATCTTTACCTAAAGCTAAATTGTCATAAATATAATTCAACAATAATTAATTTATTTGCCTTAAAGCTCTTTTTTCTATGGAGCATTTCTGAACATTTAATTTTATTCAAAATTCTGTGTAACATTCTAATTATAGGCCACATTAATAAATTATTTGAATATGTTATTTGAAAGCAGTATAATAGTATTTGAATAAAGAGAAGTTTGATTACGTAAAAACAAATACAAACCATTCCAAATCAACGAGCCCTCCTTGCTCAGCTATTGCATGCTTTACTCTGTTTGCAAATGCTATTGCTGATTCTCCATCTTCTCGGCACATTGGTGGCATATACCAAATATCACAAACAATGGCCCAAGAAGACATCATCATGAAAATATACATGAGCAAGGAATACTTTGAACTATTCCAGAATGCATCTCCAAATTTTGGATCATATCTGAAAAATGTATATGAAAAAACTATAGACTTTCAGTCATCTTGGAAATTTGTTTTCTATTAATAGAAAATATGATGTAAAAGTAAGCAAGCAAGTTAATTATTGTTATTATCTAATGATGTATATGGATGAGTTGGCAAGGTGGTATATTAAAATGCATACAATCTTACTTCATTGCCACTGGATAAATTGTGCCATCGACTTCAAAAGTTCCTTTTTTGAATTGCATTACAGAGGTGTTATTGATGCAAGTGCCTTCTGGAAAAATTAGAATAGAAGGATTTTTTGGATTTGCCACATGTTGTCTCAATCTGCAAAGGAATTAAAATCATACTTTAATAATACATACACACAAAAAATGATTAGCAGATAATTAAATCAACTTATTGTTTAGGAGGAGGAATTTTTTATATTATAATATTTTTTTTACCTTGAAGCTACTGCGTTTCTATCTTTTTGCTCCGCTCTTTCAAACCATATGTGAGGCGAAGCAGCAGCTAAAGATTGCTGTATCAGTCCGAAAAAACCACCATGTTTTTGCCCTATCTGTAAATGGAAAATATTTCTAATAATTAAGTAATAATTGTTAGTGGTAACTTTGTGTTTGCACAAAAAGGAACGTATCTTACCAAGGAAAAGCAAGTTTCAGTTGAGAGCATCACTACATCTATAGGTGTTGTGTGGTTAGCCACACAAAATCCTCCTCGTTTCGGTCTATATTCAATATTGTGAAAAGTCAATACCGATGACAAAGCTCTGGCAAATATTCTGAAAGTAGTTTTGAATGCCAAATCGTTCAGCCAACGTTTGAAACTTCCATTTGGCAAACAACTGATCAGCATGAACGCGATTACTGTCCAAAGTACCTGAAAAATAAATCAAAAGCGAAAAATCTAGTAAAAATGAAATACTCCAGAACTTCCAGATGATATCAAAAATTGATAAAGACTTTTAACAAAATTACAATCAATCAATAATACATTTTTATGTTAAGCTTTAATTAGATTTTTAATATAGGGATATAATATCATTAACTATTTACCCCGGTTAAGAAAATGATCATTCTCAATGGGAACAAAATTAGATATCTAACTATACATCCTATAAACCAAAGAATAGTTAATTTCCAGCTGATAAATTCGTAGCGGCGATTAGTGCGTGTAAGAAAGTTCCAATTCTTAAGTTCTTCTGCTTCAAATCTTGATGTCACTTCATCTTCGATAATACTTTCCATCCCTGATTTCAAATAGTTCAAACATCTTTCGATTCCTGATTCATTGATGAAGTCCTAAAATATAAAATATATTATTTTTTAAAGTATTTCCAAGTGTGGAACACTATTTTTTGTCATAGTAGGAATAACATCAATTGGACAGAAGAATTAGTCCAGAAATTAAACTTCCCTAAGGAAAAGTTTGTGCTATTGCCAGATTTATCGTCAGATTTTTTATTTTTATGTTTGCTCGACGTTTCATGTGATTCTGAATTGAATGAGACCAAATTTGGAAAAGGTATATGTGTGGGTGCACCGATTTTGGGCCTTCGTCGTTTTCTCAAAAAAACGTCTGGACCGATTTCAAAATTTCGATGTAACTCGATAAGGACTAGCGTTTATCAGTTTTGCGCGACGATCGGTCAAGCCATTTCTTTGTAATTAGTAGAAAAGTATAAAATTATTCATCCGCATTTTAGCTTACATACCTGAATGAATTTTAAAAATTCAAAAACTATTCTAAAAATATTGGTTATGAATCACGCTCATTAGTTTTTGGTAAGATCTAAATCTTTGGTAATTTTTCGATGGAACTTTGTATGGCGATAGATTTCGTAATCTGAAATAACAAACTAAAATAATATAGGCCTATGATAGAGGTTGAATTACAAAAATTCATTAAAGTTTGGAATAGCTCCGCGCTCTTAAGAGATTCTGATCAAAATGCTGAACTTGCCTTAAGGCAAAATGCACTTACTACTAATTCGGGAAAATATCAGATTGTGAAAAGATTTTTACTACATCAGTAATAATATTCAATTGGAAGCAAAGGTTATTTGTCCAGACATTTTTTGTTTTCTCTTGGAAAATTCAATTAACCTTAAGTAAAAATTAAAGAGACAGAAGGATAACTTTGAGTAAAAAGTTGTGGACCGCTACATATGTAAAAATTGATATTAATTCGAGCACTTGATGTTCACGATCAATAAAATCAATAAATAGCAATATAACCAAGATGACAATTTCACCAACTTATTTAATTTCCAATTAACCACTTACATCATCTCCTGGTAGATGACGACTGGCTTGTCTTTTGATTCTGGCCGGAAGCAATACTGTGTCTCGTTTGATGACGTTCATACCATTGTTGTTAAATCCATTTATAAAATCAGCTTTAGGAGACTTGGCATCATCATTAATTTCATCTTTACGTGTTTCAGTTGAAGTCGTAGTAGTTGAATCTACTGTTTCCGAAGTCGATTCGTTTTCTTCGACTTCATAATATGACGCATAATGTTTACTCCGTTCAGAACTTTCGATGTTAACTCGACCAAACTGAAAGGAAAAAGAAATTTAATATAATTTTCATTCCAATAATGGATTAAAATCCATATATTATATAAGTCAAAACTAAGGATAGAATAGTAAGAAAAAGTTTTGAGGAGCATGGATTAGCAACCACTAGTTTCGTGTACGATCCCGTTTCGGTCAGCTTGATATCAAGCAGTATGATATCGGATTTTTACTTGAAATTACAAATCACATTGAAATACATAATCTTTGCAAAATCGCCTTTCGTTGCTGCAAAATGATAGAAAGTAAAATAATACTATTCAAATATATTAAACGACTTGATTTAATATAAACAAGGCTTTGTAAACAGTCATTTGTTAAAAACAAAACAATTTTATCACTAAATGTCTTCATGATACTGACTGTCATGATTCTGACTATTGTAATTCAAATAAAAACTTAAAAAATAAATGTTATAAGATTTGATACAAGTAATCAAATAACTTAGCAAAAAATACAACATTGAAAATCATTAATAGATACACAAGATTTTTTTTAAACTTTCTAATAAAAATAAAATGTTTTTAACTTCGCGACAGATCAAAAGGTAAACATGTAGTAGACAGAAAAACATGTGAATAAGTTGGCAGGTAGATAGGTGAACATGTAGACAGGTAGGCAGGTAGAAAAGTAAGTAGGTAGATAAGTAAACATGTAGACAAATAAACAGGTGGGCCGGTAGACAAGTGCACTAGTACGTAAACAGGTAGACGGAATAAATGTAGTTAAGAGACAGGTGGACTGGTAGACAGATAAACAGGTAGATAGGTAGATCATATAGAAACCAAAAAAATATTATTGATTAAATCGATTATTTACTGTTATTGGGAAAATCATACAACATGCCACAAGATAAAATGCCGTTTGGGATACGTTTTTTAAATATAATATTAAGGTATAAAATAAATATGAAAATAGCATTCTCAATTAGTTAAGAACTCTTTTTTATTAGTTCGACTTTTTTCTCTGAGTTTTAATGAGTTAATGTTATCAAAAACATGTTATTAATTAAAGGTTTTGCCCTAAATTATGTAATTGCCTTTATATGTAATTTTTTTTATTTTTACATATATTTCGCATGAATCATATTTATCTGACACTATACTGCAAACGAAGTATTATATATAATTTAATTTTTATTAAACCTACAATTATTATTAAAATTAAAATGATTAAAATTATTAAATAATATTAATATGACAGCCTGGCTACTTTAATGGGTTTAATAATTTTGTTCTGATCAAATCATCACGAATTATTAAAAATAAATTTTAATTATCAAATTAATTTTATTTTATATATTATCAAGCATATCGCAAATGTCATTTACAACGCAGTTTAATCTTAAAAAATATTATCAAGATTTTTTTGTTGCGGAATTAGTTGCTATGTAAATATTTTTGCAATCAGTGTAATAATAAATATCTCAATATAGTACTGCGCGATCACTTTTTATATTTTAGTACAACTTTTTTAACCAAATTTAATTAAGAGCCAAGGACACGTTTTATTAATTAATTAATTTTAATTTTGACGAATGCCCACAATGCTCTAACAAAATTTACGAAATTTAATATTTTTTTCCGTTATACATCTACAAATAATACTTAAAAACTGACTTTTTATCATTTTTATTATTAACTGACTTAAACCATATGTAACTTAAACCATTGTACTTATAAGATCTTATTAGAAGCTAATTTG